CATTTTGCATGATTATTTCAATCAGATCATTTCAAATACTAGACCAAATTCGCTACTCTATCACTTTTTCTACCTACCCGGACTACACTGCAGTCTCACATCTTACGATATAAGATGGGGATGTGTAGCTGCAATTCAAGGCCGGTAGAGTGTGGTTAAAGAGTTGTGAGCAGGAAAATTCCAATTGTATCGTGGGTGGTATGGTTTGAACGCACACCTTTTTTCAATCACCCCTTTTCAACTATTCAACCTAAAAGATTATGTTGTATAGACAATTTGCACGTAGTTCAAAAAAATCATATAAATTAACAATGATTGTGTCTCAAAACATACCTTATATTCAAAAAGTAGAATTACTGATTTAAGAATCACAAACCACTCTAACAAAATGCCTTTTCATCTCTTCGATCTCTATGTCAAGCATCAGTTGATTTTTTTTTCTTAGACTCTATTTGGAAAGAGTATAAATATAAATATGTAGAGCACAAAACCTTATATGTTGTATTATTTTATATATATTTATGGTTTTATATTGTACATATATGTATTTATACTGAGCCTTATTTCTATATACAATGATGATTGATATTAGGTTTAAGAATTAATATAATGTTGTTCTATAAGATTCAAACACCTTGGAATATAACAAAACTGGTAAATGGGATGAACTATTTTAAGGATCTTCATGTGATGCCGCTTGACACTCAAAACCCAATAAAATTTTCAATTAATACTGATCGTCAGATTTCTCTTTGAACAACTTCAACCCACTTAGGGGGAAAAGAAATCTATGAACCCACTTAATACTGATCGATATTGACGAACCCCTTTCATCAATATCAAGAGACAGACTACAAGGTGTAAATAGTTTCACAAATTAGACGGGCCAAGGTCAAGCCAAGACTTTGTTTAGTCAAATTATTTTGCGTTTCTAGAGTTAGAATAAGAATAAAAGAAAGGATGGGCTTAGAGTCTAACTTCACCCCTACAATGTATTTGGTTTGAGATGACGGAAGGTTGTTAGGTCTTTAACAAATTAAGGAGAAATAAAGAGGAAGTTTCCCTCAACTTTCTTAACCAAATATGGCCTTTCATCGTAACAACCCCACTTGACCAAGGTTTTATGACCTGCGGCGGACCTTGCTGGGCTAAAACTAATTGGAAAAGGAAAGCAAATATGAGGAAACTTCGACATTTCCAATACTATATTTATTACGTATTTAATCATTAATGTTAAAAAAACCGGATGAATTCTTTTTTTTTTTTTTGAAAATGGATTCTTTTTTTAATAAATGCACAAAAAAATTACATGGTGATTTGGATTGGATTTTGATAATTAAAAAATACATAAATGAAAGATTAATTCGATAAGTTCAGTGACAATCGAACTTCTGGTTTCTCTCCCTCTACCCTCTCTCTCTGTTTTGAGAGAGCCTCCCTCTCTTTCTGTTTTGAGAGAGCTTCCCTCTCCCTCTCAAGTTTTCTTGAGGTTTTTCTTTTGAGTTTTCTCAAGGTTTTGTTTTCTCTGTTTGTGGTTTGATTCTGTTCGAGGTTCTCGTTCAAGCTTGTTGTCCGCAGGCGAATGCAGTCTTTTGGTTTCCTCCTATGTCAGTTTGCGGTTCTCTAGCAGTTGCTGTTCATGGTGAGTCCCGTTCGCGGTTCTCCGGTTGATGTTGCTCATTGTGAGTTTCCGGGCTGGGCCGGGCCGGGCTAAAATGATCACCCCTAGGTCCAATCTAATCCAATGAATGTTTTGGACCAATTTGGACTGATCCAATTCAATGTCTGGACCATCCAATCTATTCAAATTCAATTTGATTTAGATTGGTTTCAACCCAAACCCGGTCCATTGACACATATATTCTTATCTTATATCAATGGACCAGATATTGGTTTAATCCAACCCAATCCAATATATACGGATGGACCAGGCCCAATCCAATCTAATAATTATTTTGGACCGGATTGATCCAATCTAATATGTCTTGTTGGTCCATCCGGTCCGTCCAAATTGATTTTGGACTGGACGGGGTTTAATCCAAAACTGGTCCATTGACACCCTTAATAATGAGTACCGATGTTGAAAACAGATATGAAGCATTGGTACCAAACAAAAAGTGCTATTGTTGCTCTAGAAAACGTCCTACCTAACAACATCGTTTTCAAATAAATAAAGGCACCGTTTTCTAAGAAATAAGATATCCTATATATTTATTGTATATGTATAAGTTACCTATAGGGTACAAGTACCAAAGTGGGTTTCATTCCAAAAAACACCGTCCAAATTGATTTTTCAAACATTTATATATTTATTGTACATGTATAAGTTAAAAGTAATTAATATTTTTACTTTTATCATTGTAAGATGGATGTGGATTAAAACTAAATCTGATTTGGTCCGAGATTTTATAATTGGCTGAGATACTTAGGGGTGTAAATAGATCAAATTCGAATAGGATCAGTCAATATCTGAATTCAAATTCAATTAGAAAATCCGATATTCAAATCTGATTCAATATCCGACGGATATTGAAAAGTAATATTCAAATTTGAATCTGATTAAATATTTGAATATTCAATTTGATTCGATTAATTATTTTAGATAATTAACAAATATATAAAATAAATATTTTATTGATATAAAGAATATAAATATATAAATTATTTATATAAGTTAATTATTATATATAAATTATATAAAATATTATATATATTATATATAAGAATTAAACAATCAGTCGAATTCAGATATTTATCAAATCGAATCAGGTCATATCCGAATTCGAATTCGATTAACTATTTGGTAAGAATAGAATATCCGAATTCGACCAATTAGATATTCAAATTCGATTCGATTATGTCGAATATCGAATTCAAAATTGGATTTTCGAATACCATTGACACCCCTAGAGATACTACTATAGATGGGTCCGATCCTTGTAAAGTCTACATTCAACTTAATACAAAAGAAGAAGTGATGTTGTTTGAGTTAAGGGGGATGAGCAATATACGAGTGTCCTGATAAATTAGACGAGCTAAAGTGGATCCGACCACCTATGTATATGTTTGGCATTTGCTAATGTGTGGCTTGGAGCACTGTTTTATCATAAAACAATGCATTTTTTTTGTTTGGAATCGTTGTTGCCAGGTAGGGCGTTTCCTAGAATAACAATAACTTTTTCTGTTTGGTACTAATGCTCCAGGAAGCGTTTTATGCACTTCTACCCTTTATCCACTATCACATCACTGCCTTGTTGGAAGCAACAAGCTACAGTTCCAGGAAATGCCAAATTTGGCGTTGCTCCTATCCATGCCTTCCCGATTTCCAAGGCGTGGCTTGGAGCACTGTTTTCTATGAAAAAACAATTCCAAATAGAAAGCTATTTCCTGGAGCACCGTTTTTTCCTACATGGTGCTGATGTGGCGCCGTTTTCTAGAGCAACATCAACGGTTCCAAACAGACGCTATGAAGACAAAAATTAGATGACGACCTCAAGGTGGTTTCTTGGGGAGCACCACTCCAATGCTCATGTTAGTAATTAAATAGAATCAAGCAATCGGTTAGGCCGAATTAATAAGGATGAATTGGTCTTAGGTTGTGTTTGGTTCTATGGGCGTTTATTGAAAAATGCGCTGCCACATCAGCACCGCATAGGCATAGGTGTTGGCATTTATTACATAAGAAGCAAAATAAAACAAATGTTGGGTTTCAGTTTTTATCAAATAAATGGTGAAAAACTGAAACAGTTTGATTTTTGTACATAGGATATTTGAGGAAACATCAAATGCTTGTTTCCCCTAATACCCTAGCATTTCTTGAAACCAAATGCTGATGTAGCACACTTTAATGGGTATTAATATGAGGTAAAGAATAAAAAATATTTAAAGTAAAACTCAACCAAATAATAAAATTAAAAAACATTTAAAGTAAAAAACGTTTAAAAAAAATATCAATAAACACTGGATGAGGAGTGTCATTGTACAATCACTTGGCGTGAATCGCATGACACGTAGCATGTCAAAAGGTCGTCACGTGCCCTCCTTGTTCAAGATCCACGGCGTTTGCTTTGGTTATCTTCCGCGGTGAATGATCGTGCGTCATATCGTCCTCCACATTGGCGTCATGTTGAACAGCTTGACCAGGTATCATCCACGTTATCTTCTGGTTCAATCAGGGTGGTTTACGCCCCATCCATAACAAAGAAAAATAATTAAGTACAACTTTTAAAAATGAAACTGGATTGGCCCCACTGAAACCATAGGTTGGACAGGGTCGGTTGGTTTTGGGCTGGACAAGCACAGATTTCAGCACCATGTACAAATTAGTCCTTTCCTAATAATGAACCACACAATAAATCAAGTTCGAAATAATTAGAAGGCATAATTTAAAAAACTAATAATAATAAGGGTGACCATAGCTCAATTTTCCTTAATTAGTTTCGGGCTTTTCAGCTCGGAAGTCGCAACCATAATGAAAAGAAATCAATCAAGAATCTTACACAGAACCTTTCTAGTTCTTATAATTTAATCTTTTTAGTTATCAAAAAAAATCAAGAATCTTACACCCTGTACATGCAGTAAGCCAGTAGCCCCAGCCCTGCTTATAATTTTATATATGATTCTATAAAACCCAGTATATATATCGTATAATAGAACTACATTTGAAGGTGATGATTCGTTGTGAAAGTCCACACTGAGTAACGGTGTCGTGTATGCCGTGTTTATCATTTCATTCATTGGATGAAAATCGCAAAGTCAAAAATGATGAACGCGGTGGGGCTCACACTGTTTGTCGAGTCTGGTGGATAAAAAAATCCTGCCGTGACTGCTTTCCACGTTTGAACTTTGAAAGAGTCCTGAAATATAACTTGACAACCAACAAGATTGACTATGGCCGTCTTTTCCAGGGCCAGAAGGTGAAAATCTTAGAGAAGAAGGTTCCAAATTCGTTACACATCAATCGTTCTGGAGTTATAAATAAGGAAGCAGAGAGGTAGATGAGATAGATAGAATCATAAGAGAGAGAGAGAGAGAGAGAGAGAGAGATGAGTTGTTCCAGGAAGAGTGATGTGGGTGTGTTGGTGGTGGCGGTGGCTGCCATTCTGTTGGTCGGAGGAATGCAGGCGGTAGAGGGGCAGGATACGGCGTGCGCGACTCCATTGCTGCCTTGCGCTAATTTCCTAAACTCGACCACACCGCCTGAGACGTGCTGCCAACCTATTCGGCAGACGGTACAGACCCAATTGTCCTGCCTCTGCAACCTCCTCAACAGCAGCCTCCCTCAGAGTCTCGGACTCAACGTCACCCAACTTCTTGAGCTTCCCAAGTACTGTGGTGTCAATGTTAGAGTCAGCGATTGCATCAAAGGTATTCCCCAGTTCTTTGTTCAAACTAGCTAGGAACCAAACCAGTTTGCTTCAAAACATGATAAAAAAGTGAAGAGCTTGATCTCTGAGCTTCTGAGCTCTTGGAATTGAACCATGCAGTTTTCAGGGTTTTATTATGTGTTTTGTTTTTTATACAATTAACGCCATTAATTATAGCTAATGTATTTGCTTTCCATTTTTGCAGCTCAAGCTCCTTCTCCTTCTGCATCTCTCACACCTCCACCTCCTCCAGGTACAAATCTCACTTTCATGACTTCCGCTCACCAACTCCCTTTTTTAATTACTTCGTTTCTAAAATATTTGATTGGTCACCAACTTTAGATCCAGAATGTATCGATCTACGTAATTGTCAATATACAGTTGCTACTTGTTGGTTTGTTGATTGGTATTTCTCTTTTGAAAATTAACTGCAATTATTTAATTGTCAAATCTCATTTAGACTCTTGGCTCAGATTTCATCAGTTACGTAGTCAAATTTTTCATCCCTTCTAAGAAATTCTCTTCCTTGTCTAACCAAAATTTGAATAAAACAGGAGTTCCGGGAAGCGACGGCAATGGCGTGAGCAAGACGGCATGGACCGGGATGACTAGCTTGGTTCTACTTTGGACCTCCATGTTTGTGTTTTAATTGAGGATTGCAGAGATTTTATTTCAGAGGATTAGGATGCCCGGCCGGCCAGATTTAATTTCTTATTTGCTTGTATTTTTATATGTATGATGTGTTCTATCATGTGTGCTTGTATTCAATTGATCTAAATAAGTATTTTATATATAATTATATTTTGTCTTTCACAAATATTTAAATGCCTAACTTGCAATCATGCATGGAGATGTTATAGCACCTTGGCAAGAATGCATATAATATATAATTGTATAAGAAACCATGTGGGTCTTAGTACTGGTTAACGATCACTGTCAGTGTAAATGGTCAACGACCAACGCGGTTGCGCCTTGTGGGCCTGGCTGTTTTGGGTTAGTCCGATTTTGGGCTGGGATGGGTTGGTGTAATGGTGTTAAATATGAAATAATCCGATTTAATTTCGAATTGGGTTAGGGTTAAGACATTGGGCAATATAATTTAACTTATTTTCATTAAATATATATATATATATATATATAATGTAAATCAAGGCAAAACTTTTCTAAGATAACTCCGATTATCAAAAACTAAAAAATCGAAAAACGGAACCAAAAATTCTGATTAATTGAAGCATGAACACCCCCTACAATCAGCCTTTGCCTTCAAATCTCAAAGTCTATAATAAATATGAAAATTGGGCCAGCCTATATTCGTTAGGGGCTTAGGGCAGGGTGGATTGGGGGGTTCAATTATTTGGGGTGCATGAGTTAGAGTTGGAATCATAGAAATTGCAAGATGTGATACACAGAATTCTTTCCTTGTAAATCAACTCACTGTGTTGTAAAGAGCACACAACTGTCCAACTGAGTTTATTTTATAACTCATTAACTCAGTATCGTGCGGGCCCAAATGAGAAACCAAGACCACAATGCGTTTTTTATTGGATGAGCTAGCTACAGCAGTGGTCTACTGGTCTACTGGTCTTGGGTTGAACCGTGAACACTTCAATAGTTATTTTAGTAAGCTACGGCAGTTAGGTTTTATCTCTAGCTACTCGGTTGTGGCTCGAGAGGAAAATCCTGCTGTGGTCGTGGTCGTATGCGACCCCAATACATATCAATTGATTTTTTTTTTTTTTTTTTAATTCAAACGCTGATGTGTTCTCATATGATTCGGGTCACATGCGACGATGTTGCAGCATTTTATTGGAAAAATTCACTTTAATACCCTTAACTTTGGGGTAGTGTCAAGTTAGTACCTGATGTGTCACTACAGTATTTAAATTTTTAAAAAGTGTTAAGTTGGTCCCTGCATATTAACCAATTATTAGTTATTTATTGAAAATGTCAAAACTATCGTTTAAAAGAAGACATTGTTCATTGTCTTATACATTGAAATTAAACATGTTGAAGTATTTAAGATTCTAGGCTAATCATTGTCTTCTACCTTTAGATTTAAAATACATTCTTGTGTAATTATTTCTTTGCTTTCAGTTATTGTTTCTCTTCATCATATTTGATGTTTTTTCTCTTTTTTCTTTGAGATAACCGGTTCAGCCTCAAGGTATAAGTAATGAATAGTGTCTTTTTTTGAATGGTAGTTTTGACATTTTCAACGGATAACTAACGATCAATTAACGGCAGGGACCAACTTAACACTTTTTGAAAGTTTAAGTACTGCAATGACAAATTTGAAAGTTCAAGTACTAACTTCACTTTACCCCCAAAGTTCAGGGTACTAAAATGTAATTTTGCCTTTTTTCCTCTAGGTGTTTGGTTGGCTCCCTTTTTTCGTATCATCCAAATTCAAAAGAAAAAGAGAAACTAAAATCAAAATCTCATTTCTAGAACCACCCCCAACAACTTCTAACGTCATGAGTAACTAAAGTATGGTTCATTGAAAGAGTTGACAAAAAGAAATATGACTCGTTGAGAGGGATGGCATCTGCTTTTGGACAGGGGTGCAACTTGGGTGGGCTCAATTTGGGCCAGGGTAGATGTAGCCCACAAATTTATATGCATTGATAAGTCATGGGCCTACAATTTTGGGTTTTTGTTGTTTGGGTTGGGCAACTTTTGGGGTTTAATATCAATCAAAGTAATATTTAAAAAAAATTCAAAAATATGTTAACTTCTTAAAAATAATACACTGTTCATCATCTTCTTCTTGCCATTTGTTCACCTGCCTACCACCGTCGTCCGCTGCCGCCCACCGCCGCCTCCGCCTCCGGCAACGACGCTGGTGATCATTCCTCTGCCCAGCAACGCGCTGCCACCTCTATCTCCACCCACCTCCGGCAACGTTACCGGAGGCGGATGGTAGCGTTGGTGAACAAATGACAAGAAGAAGATGATGAATAGTGTTTTTGCCCTTTATTGATATTATTTTTAAAAAAGTTAACCTATTTTGAATTTTTTTAAAATATTGGTTTTATTGATATTAAACCCCAAAAATTGCCCTTATATGCTATTATCCCTAACTTGAATCAGGCCAAAGCCCAACCCTATACATATACACATGCATATGTTTTTTTGGTAAATTATGTATACATGCATACATGCATGTAAATAATATACATTTATATCAAAATTTAGTGTAAATTTATTGACCAATCCGAGCTTGCCTTGAATCTCAATTCAACATAAGTATATCAAATTTCAATGCGGGCTAGGCCTAGATTGGATAGATCGGGCTTCACCTTTAGTTTGGTTTGGGCTTGGGTTGCTTGACTTACACCCTACTTTTGGAAATATACCAACAGTTGAAAGCCATACTTTCTCGTTGTCTAGATTAACATCAAGCAGTTATATTTAGCAACATTAGCGCAACGTTTACAACTTGTTGTTGACTGAGACGCTCTAAATGGTCGAACTATTTGAATCATCACCTGCCCCCTTTGTAAGTATAGTTTTCCTAAAACCTGCAAAATTGCCAAAAAAAAAAATGTTGATTTGGTCATAGACCCACAAGACTCAAGCGGATAAACTATTAATCCGCTCAACCCAATCATATGTTACACAATAAAATGCATTGAAACTTTTAGATGTCATTACTATGTGCTCAATTATTAGATTTTGTGATGCAAAAGACATCTTGCCACACTATTTTTTACCCCCCCCCCCTCTCAATTTGGCATCAAATTTTAATTTTCATCTTTTTTATTTACTAATAAAAGTGTACATGCATTTGCACATTATAGTATCTATAAGACAAAACTATGTATAATTCATGGCCACTTTTTTTAATTCATTTATCCAAAAATTAATTAAGGTATTTTGAAAATTCATGGATAGAATTCTCTAAGACAAAACTATTCAACTTACCATATCTAGTTCCAACACCGAGGTAGTTTCTAAAAGGTTATAAGTGAGCAATTTCTAAAACGAGAGTAAAAAACGTATATACCCTCTTTGTACCCATTGTATGCTTAGACAAATGGGGTAAAAAACGTCCAATAAAAATTCCAAAAAGAAGAGGTATTCGCTCTTTTATAGGTAGTATAGATAAAATTAAAAAAAAAATGATATATACTCATATCATGTAGAATATGATTATACATTTTTTAATTGATATAATCCATGTTTATACACACACATACATATAAACTATAGATATACATGGTCTGGCTTGTCCAAGCCCAATGATTGAACCAGTAACCCGTGACCAAGAGACAAAAATAGTCTAGCCCAAGGTTTTAAAAACTAACCAGGAAACGAAACCGTTCAAGCTACCGATTTCCAGGTCAGTGGTTCAACCTCCAGGTCGAACGGTTCGGACGGTTTGCATATTAGGGCAAATGTTTATATGAGGCTTGCCCTAATATGAAAACCTCATAAGAGATGTCGGTTGAGAAAGCCAAAAAGCAGAAGGAGAAAGGAGACTGTTCTCTGAGAAAGAAAAAAAGAAAGAAGAAGAAGGAAGGAGAGGAGGGAAGAAGAAGTAAGAAGATGAGGATGATTGGATGCTCACCAGCGACAATAGTGGCGACGGCGGCGACAACAAATATAGATCTGATATATGAGTTCTTGGATCTCAGATCTGAGATTGATTTCTCTAAAACACCTATAGAAGAAAGTCTTCTTCTTCTTCTTCTTCTTCTTCTTCTTCTTCTTCTTCTTCTTCTTCTTCTTCTTCTCTTTGTGCAAGATCCCAAATCTAAGTTCGTGTCTCAGACTAGATCTCAAATTTGAATCATCTCAGTTCTCTCTACAACTTTATATTGTGAACTGTTGGCCGGGTCGAACAAGTCAACAGTTTGACCGCCCAGGTCAGCGGTTTCTGATGAAGTCAACGGGTTTTGACCCAATAAAAGGTTAGGGTGAAACGGAACCAATTGTCCGGACAGTTTCTAAGCCGAACGGTCTGACCGTTTGGATCAACGACAGTTCAAAAACATTGGTCTAGCCTATAGATTGGTTTTTAAAACATTGATTCAGTCTATGCTTGGTGATAACCCTTTGGTTGTTTATGTTGCATTCCTGTGTTTTTTTTCTTAAATACACAAGTTTTTGCTAGAGTTTTAGTTTTGGGCTTATTGGCTTGTACACTTGGTAGTTTTCTACCTTGATGGAAATATGAAACATATAAATCAGTGTCTATTAAGTTCATGACATCAACATGGTTTTCAAACAACTGTTGACCCAGACAGTTGGACCATTCGGCCTAACAACCGTTCAAGCAATAGGTTCCATTTTACCTCAAACCCGGTCCTTGGCCAAAAAAAGTTGAATTGGTCAACGAACCATTGACCTAGGCAGTTGAACTGTCGACCCATTCAACGGTTTTTTATCATTTTTAAAATTTTTAGTTTTTTAATTTATTTTGTTAGAACAGGCCGTCCATTTAGACCGAATGGTTGAACCGTCAACCCGGAAACCAATGGCCAGAACGGTTCCGATTCTAGGTCATTTTTTAAAACATTGGTTAAAACTCATTCTTCAGAAGTGGTTGAACCATTGGTCCATTTGTTTAAATAGGTCAAACGGGTCCAATTGGAGTGATATTTAACTCTAATAGTTTAATTTTTAGCTTCTCTCTTAGTTTTCTGCGTATTTTCTATTACCACTATTAAAAATGATAATGATTAATGGCTAATTGTTGAATACCCTTATTTTTATTTCCAAATTTACCCATATTAATAATACAAATTTATTATCTCATCTCATTATCTCATTATTTCATTATTAAAAATGAGAATG